GGTTTTTGATGCATGGAATGATATGAGGAAAGTGTATCCAAATCTGTATTTATGCTCTACTTTGTATTGAGCACTCTCTTCTGCAATTGGATCATACTTGTGTAGATTATATATATGAGACAGCGAAAGTACTATGTATGAAACTGATATAAAGAAGATGATGGACTAACGTGGCCTTTATTATTTTATTATATATTACATGTACACCGAGTGAACATTTACCTCATTTTTGTATATATATATATATATATATATATATATATATATATATATATATATGTTTCCGATACAATGCTTTCATGACAACATAATCGTTAACGCTGGAATATGTAATGCACTAAATGTGAACGTTCAAACAAGTATTATAGCTTAAATGGATAGAATTATCATACCAATGCCAGTATGTTATCAGAAATCTGCGGGCCACTGTAACTTGATAGCAGTCCGCTTATTCCTAACGACGGTCTGCTATCTATTCTATTGCATTGTGACGTCATTGGCGTCACGTTTCTTTTCTGTGAAGTCATCATATATTGTGTTCCATGACGTTGCCATGGGTTAAGAATTGATTATGCAGCCGCAAGACTCCTACCATGTTTGAAATGTAAATTTGTGCCGAAAAAAAGCAAATGTATTGATATTCAGAGATAAGCTATCTGAGATACGCTGTTGTGATATCAGCTGTTGTGTATTATGAGAAATTGTTAATACTTTAAAACAATATAAAACACATTATATTGTTAAAAAGAAAGCCATGTAACAGTATCTCTAGTGCTGACAACATGTATGCGCCCGTTTAATTAACTATTTTAGATATATCGCGAACTTATGATATTTTCAATTGAAAGTCAAACAAATGATAAGGTTAACTTAGAGGTATAGTTTCGCCATCTACTCAGTTCATTTTGGCGGTTTGGGGATGGATGGGATGAGGGAGGGGTAGTCGTTGATGGTGGAGAGGATTGGGGAGGGATATAGGCTGATATAGCACGGATATAGGCGTGAAACAAGCGGTATCATAAATTTGTTGTAGGTTTAGTCATCGCTGAATACGGTTTGATGTGTCCTCTATGTGACCTCTGTCGGTCGGCTCGGGTCACGTGGCCACGTATGGCACATCTATGAAGATAGATAAGCCAACAACTTTATTTTATCAACCAAAACTGGCTCCCACAGGAGATATCGCTTGGATTAGATCAAGCGATATCTACACCGTAGATATCGCTGCAATGAAATGACATCACAATGCTTTGCAGACCATTGTGACGTCACTGGTTACCATGACGTCACAATCAAATGACATCACTAATGGCTCTGCTACTGAAGCTGTTAGCAGTACTTTTTACACTGAAGACACTTCTTATTACTGTCTACAAATTGAAAAAGTTGGAAGAATTATGTTGGATGATAAATAAAATCTCACCCTCTTGTCTTTTGAAATCAAATATATCAACACTCGTTGATAAAAGTGGCAAAAATCCTCGGCAAGCCTCGGAATTATTCCACTTTTATCAACTCGTGTTGATATATTTGATATCAAAAGACACTCGGGTGAGATTCTCTTATAATCTCTATCATGTAACCGTTGTAGTGTTTCGTCATAGATTTACGTATATGGGAATGAGGACGATTTTATTTTTTGTTACTCCAAGAATGTCCCCGACATGGTTTCCGAGTGGAACTGAATCCTGTGTCACTCCATCTGTACAACGTAAATCGAATACTTCAACTGTAAGTATTAAATATACAAAAAACAGTCCGGATATTCGTGTGGATAAAGGAGTTTTGACATGCACGAAAATCTTGACTCTGTTGGGGGTTGTTGTTTTTGTGTGTGTGTGTGTGTGTGTGTGTGTGTGTGTGTGTGTGTGTGTGTGTGTGTGTGTGTGTGTGTAAATGGATATACCTCCATCCATTTACATAAAGGTTGATGACCTTTTGAAAAGCGGTATAGTTTTCATTAAAACTGTTAAGGTGGCTAAGTGGTGAAATCGTTCGCTCTTCACGGCGAAGGTCCAGGTTCAATTCCCCACATGGTTGGGATAATGTGTGAGGCCAATTTCTGGTGTCCCCGCCGTGATATTTCTGGACGTTTGCTAAAAGCGGCGTAAAAATCACACTCACAATCATACCCATTAAAACTTTTAAAAACCATCAGTTGTCGATTATTGAAAATACTTATTCCACGTCAGTTCTACTGAAAAATCTAATTACAATGCCGTAAAAAGTCTGGGACTGGGATATTGATTTATATAGATTTATAGCTGCAACATTCAAATTACTTAGTGTTTAAGAAAGCCTTCTCATTTAATCAGAGGAGAGACTGCTACATGCTTACCCTTTTCGCGACCACCCGGTGTAATCACTAATTTTCATAGGTCCAGTCATATAATTTCCACAGCTATTTGTTGTCCTTTACTCCAAATAGAATCTGTTTCGGCAGATAATCTAGGCTGGTAACTCTCTTGCATTGACAACTTGTATCTCCATGTCAAACTGACACTGACTGATAAGCATCATACCCGAAATAAGCACATACCAAAGATAAGCACCATACCCGTGATAAGTATCATACCCGAGATAAGCACATACCCCAGGTAAGCACCATGCCACAGATAAGCACATACCGAGATACGCACCATACCCGAGATAAGCACATACACGAGAGAAGCACCATACCCGAGATAAGCACATACCCGAACTAAGCACATATCCGAGATAAGCACATACCCAAGCTAAGCACCATATCCGAGATAAGTACATACCCGTGATTAGCACCATACCCGAGGTAAGCACAATACCTGAACTAAGCACCATACCCGAGATAAGCACATACCCGAGATAAACACCATACTCGATTATAAGCACCATACCCGAGGTAAGCACCATACCCGAACTAAGCACCATACCCGAGATAAGCACATACCCGAGACAAGCACCATACTCGAGCTAAGCACCATACCCGTGATAAGCACCATACAAGAGATAAGCACATACCCAAGCTAAGCACTATACCCGAGATAAGCACATACCCGAGGAACGAGTTGGTCACGAGTGCACCTCGGCCTTTCCACCAAAACTTAATTAAGCTCCTGTTTTAGTGGAATAAGATTACATATGCCTCGTACTGTAGGAAAAGGATTATGTGCCTTTTCTTACTCTATTAAAATGACCAAGGAATACAGTTCGTTATTTGTATTTGTTCCGGGGAAAATACCTCAGTTCCTCAACTCCTAAAACATTTTGATCCACCCCCAATTCTTCACCCCACCCCATCCCATTGTTCTCGATGCAGTTCAGCACAATAAACACGCCCACGGGATTCTGAGAGTGAGTGAGTGAGTGATTGACTGAGTGACTGAGTGAGTGGCAGGTACACGTCATGATATGCGAGGCGATTCCAGTTCAGGATGTGACGATGCTCGTGACGTCACGTTTTAAAAGCGCTTAAAGCGTGTTTCACTTTGCCGAAGAACAATAGATGATATATTTGCGTGGAAATCTGAATTACCAAACATACTGGAGGAAAAGCGAAGTGAATATTTTTATTCACCCACAGTCTCTAAATGGTGTGTTATAAACGCGAGGGTGGCGTAGCGTAGTGGTTAAAGCGCTGGCTATCCACGCCGAAGAACCGAATTCGATTCACTCCATGAGTAAAAATTGTTAGGTTCAAATATTTGTGTCCCTCCCCCACTAATACGTTGCATGAACCAGCAATAACTCACTAATTCAGTGAGCGAATTCAAGATTGTCTTCTGTTGTCTAACTATCTGTAGAGTTATACATGGACCAATTTATGTGTGAATATTGGATGAGTGAGTTGGATTTAACGCCGCTTTTAACAGTATTCCAGTTATATCAGCTTAATGTGGGGAGGAAAGCCCGAAGTAATGCAGGTCTCAGACGTTTACCACTTCGGTGAAATCCACGAGCACGGGCATGGTGCTGACAAATCTAGAAACGTAATCGGGGCGAACCGGGGTTCGAACCCACAATCATAGGTTCCTGACGTGCCTAAGAGACGCAACTCTGCACAGCGACTGACGAAACAGATTCCAGTGGGTGTGTAAGGCCAAATAGCGGTTAAGGTTATATGAAGAGGTCACCGAAAAGGGCAGGCATGTCCTGCATCACTGGTAAACACACGCTCATGATATTTTCGGAATCGTGCAGTGGAGATTCTTATGATTATGTAAATGATGTTGTCGCCATTTTTAATGTCTGGAAGGACATTTGAGCCACAACACTTTCTTCTGGCTCAGACAAGAACTGTTGTACAAGTAAAATGGTGTTCGAGTGAGTGAGTGAGTGAGTATGATTTTACGCCGCTTTTAGCAATATTCCAGCAACATCACGGCGGGGGACACCAGAAATGGGCTTCACACATTGTACCCATGTCGGGAATCGAACCCGGGTCTTCGGCGTGACGTGCGAACGCTTTAACCACTAGGCTACCCGACCGCCCCAAATGGTGTTCGAACATAATGAGGGATAATATGATACCAATAAGATCAGCAAGCAATGTTTCCTTTATGTTTAACCTTAAAACAGATGTGTCGCCTCAGAAATAATAAAATGGCGATAACATTTGCCGTTGTGTTGTGGACTTCCTTACTTACATCACAATAAATAGAGCCACATCCAGGAGTAAACCATTAAGACAGGGAGGTATTAGCTGAGAGGTTAGAACGTCCGCCCGGAGAGCAGAAGGTTCGTGGTTCGATCCTCTGGTCGCGTATTATCAACAGATGTTAAAAGATGGTACCTGTGGCTTCCCCAGCCAGGAGCGGCGTTAAAGGATAAACAAGGACTTGTCGGCTCGGAATCGATATCCTGTGTCTGAGTGGGGTATTTACATCTGCATCATATCTCAGTAGCCTAGCGCTTTAAAACCGACATAAGTCCGGACTATTACGAGCAACCACAGCCAGATACCAAAACACAAGGAAACACGTGCACAAACACAATATTATAAACTGTTTTTTACAACTATGACTATAAAATTATTCTTATGCATATAAGCCGAATTAGGTTTAACAGGGAGCTGAGATTTTTGTTTGAGACAAACACACAGTTATGTGTTTAGTTTCTCGAGAAGCAAGTCAGAGGAAAACTATATATTGGGTCGCACAAACCATCATGTTCAAAACTGCGGGATTAGATTATTATTTTTAACAACCCGCCCTCCAGACTGTGAAATAGGCTTCCCTTCATGAATTATTCTGGAACAGCAGTTACTTTTTGTCATTTTTAGTCGTTATTGCAGTGAATTGTATAGTCTCCCTAACGGTGTAAGGGTAGACGAATTCGCCTCCAATAGACTGCAGATCGGGTCGATGTAGCCACTCTTTGTCAGCCGCGCTATGAACCAGGAATATCCCCCTACAAAGTCTGCCTTTTCCAGACGGGGTATAATAGCCTCCATATACTCCTTTACCTGCCCAAAAGTCGGTTTTCCAGGGCAGGCAAACTCCGTCAACCAAACCTTTCTGTTGTAGCGGTTGTAGGCGCTCTCCAGAAAGCCCATATCGCTGTCCACATCACAGGTGTAGCTGTGCAAGGCTATATAATCTCAAGGCATCCCTTGCAAGCTGCGAAGAATTTGTCCAGCCAATCAAATGTCGTGTATGTACATAGACCCCCAACTACGGCACATCTGGCGGGGGCGGGGCTCAAGAGATGTCTGTCTTGTGCTGCAGCTTCAACCTTTGGCCAGTTATCTGCGGCGAATTCAGGAGTCATCAGTGATTGGTCTTTGTGGTTGGGTTCATTGAAGCTAAGGACATATTTAGAATGACGAGGAATGGAGATGGTCTGACCATTGTACCCCCACACCATGGGAATGAACTCGCCCCTCGGGGAACCAGGGCATCCATGTGCATGGTGCCCACTGTCGTTGAGCCCCCAGTCATACCTGAAGAAAACACAGCTGATGTCAAGGTCATAATTTACGACAACATGTCGGGGAAAATGATGTGTTATTAAAATCTTGAAATGCAACCCATAGTACCAAAGGGCGGTCGGGTAGCCTAGTGTTTAAAGCGTTCGCTCGTCACGCCAAAGACCCGGGTTTGATTCCCGACATGGGTACAATGTGTGAAGCCCATTTCTGATGTCCTCCGCCGTGATCTAGCTGGAATATTGCTAAAAGCGGCGTAAAACCATACTCACTCGCTCACTCACTCATAGCACCAAAACATACTTAGGATCAATTGTCGGCATTTTCATATTTTAGAATAGAGTGAGTGAGTGGATTGCCATTCATGCCACATTCAGCAATGTTGCGACTATGTCACGGTGGTATGCATGTGATAGAGTCTGGATTATAGAAACGGACAACCGACAATACACCTGTCCTACTCATAGAAGCCCAAAAGGCGAGACAGATTTTCTGCCATTAAATCTAGGCGGGAGACACGCTTTACATGCCGGCAGATACTACCCCTAGAATACAAAAATAGAGACAAGCATCAGGTATCGGCGGATATATGGTACCCACGAATACAAAAAGGGGACACAGATATGAGGTACTGGGGGTCCATTTTCTGCCACTGAAACTCGATGGGAGACAAACCTTAGATGTCGGCAGATGCTACCCAAAAATAGAAAAAGGGAGAGAAGCATGATGTATCGGCAGATATATGCTACCTCAACTGTGTGTAGACCTTTCAGTCTCAGTGAGAGACGAGGGAGCGGTCTATATGTATGATTCAATGGTGTTTCATGTCGGATAGGATCTGCGAAGATGACGAGCAAATCTTATCTGACCTAAACAGTCCTTTTCCCCTAAAAAGAACTCTACAATAGTTTAAAGTGCCTTAAGAAAAATGCGTCACCTGGTCCGTATGGAATAAGAAATATGTTTTTTATTAAATAAAATGCTTCTCATCAGCTCTTTCACAGATGTCTGGGGAAGGAGTATTATATTCCGCAAAAACAAGAAATGCAAAAGTGATTTTAGATGTATATCTTATATATCATATAAATAAAAAACAGATGGTAATCGATTGTTTAAAATTGGTAAACATCATTGTCATTGTCTCAGGTTCCATATGGCATATTTGGAACAGTGGATTTACAAGGTGAAGGTCACCTGTTCTAAAATTCTTGTACGGCCACCATTAGCGTCCAACAAACTGACTGGCATCGGCGTCCCATAAAAGCAATCAGATCCCGAATTGTATCCTCGGGATTGTCAACCCACTCTGCCTGCAATGCTTTTGCCAACTGTCGAAGGTTCTGTAGTTGTTGCAATCGTTGATCCAGTGCAGCCCATAAATGTTCGACTGGGTTTAAATCGGGAGACCTTGAGGGTCATGGTAGGACCTGGATGTTGTGCTTCCTAAAAAAAAAAAGGCTGTGTCAGTCTTGCCGTGTGAGGTCGGGCGTTGTCTTTTTGGAAAATGGCGTTCGCTTGTTGCATATGGGAAAGACTTCTGGCCAAAACATCTCATCCGTGTAACGTGTCTCCATCGCAGGTGTGGCCATACTCTGTGACCTTTACTCCATTAACGTCGCAGCCGACGATGCCGATCCGTCAAAATGACACCTCGAACTAGTTACCTTCCGCGCGTAAACGGTTCCTCAATGTCAGGGTTGATATCCTATGCAATCCTGGCGTTGCCGTGGAGATGGCCGTTATGGTTCTTTCACGGAAGTGACGTAGCCATATGAATCTGTCCTGTGCTCTAGTTGTGATTCGGGATCGACTGGATCTGCGAAGGTCACGTGTTGTCCCGTGTGTCTTGTAATGGTGCTTGGTGCTACATGGAAAAAAAACCTGCCTTCAACTCGTGGCATGTTCACGTGCTGTAAGATTGTGAAGGCATGCGAATGAAAACCCAACGTTGCTGCAGCCCAACAAGTAATGTTGCACGTGCATGTCATGTTGGTGTGTTTCGGCGCCAGGCTCTCACGTGGTTGGTAAGAAAACGTACAACTTAATGGATAGTAACTTCTGGTTTATTGCATATAATGACGTGTATCACCGTCATCAACTGTTTGAGTAAGAAAGCGTGGTTGTGTTTTTGCGATCTTTTCCATCCTCTCACCACAATTCTGCAGTGCCTATTTCTGTTTTCTTTCCACAAAAATCCATCACAATCCATGCAGATATGACCAATTCATTTTCGGTATTAATTGGTAATGGATGTCGGCAACACACTCGTATTTACGAGTGTGCAACTTCGCGTTTCTTTCTTGGCTTAGTATATTTCTGATGTCCATTGACTGTACAGGAACTAAAAAAATGTATTGTCCCAATTCTTTCAACAGTTTAAAAAATTATCATTCTAAAAACGTATAATGTCCAAATCATCTACGGGCCGTCTGCCTGTCTGTCGGTTGGTCAGACAGTCGTCGTGAAGTTGGGACACGCATTTGGCCAAGAGTTGCCCATAACAGTTGCCGTGGGGACCCGGGTTACATCAGAGACCAGCAAAAATGCTCTGATCTGGAGGCTGTTTGTCATTGGGGTCACGTGAAATACAATTGTATCCCGACTATATATGTACCACACGTGATCGCCAATGGCAAACAGCTATTGGATCAGAGCTCTGAACAATACAACAATGCACCTCGAGATTTAAGCCAGGCTCGTGTTTTCGTGGGCTTGGAGTGGAAAGTGCCGCGAACTGTCAATTCAGACAGTGTGTGCTTTTCGTGGGACTCGAGTATTTGGTTGTGCTCTTAACCAGCTGGAGACCCCACGACAGTACTTTATCGGGATAAAAGGTTACAGTTGCGAGGACAATATGATTCGTCTACGCCTCGCCTTTGTTCTCGGATCTGTACCTTCATATTCAGATACGTATTGTTACCTCGTCCTCTATGGCAATAAACCCCACCACTCTGTTAAGGGCAACACAATTAGATTATTTACTTGTCATAAAAAACAAACAAACAAATTTCTCCATCAGATGTTGCTCTCCCTCCTCCCGCCCAAATACCCTAGGGTCCGCTCCGTTTGAGAAGACTAAATTAGATTATTTATATGTCACCGTGAAACAGGTGGAATATTGCAATACAAACAAACAATTACCACCAACTAAAGTGCCCCACCCACCTTCTTCACCCGAATATCATATTGTCAGTTCCTCTGAGACGACTGCATTGGATTATTTACGGGTAACTGTGATATAGTTTGAACATAGATGATTTATGCGGCGTAAAACAGCAAACAAACAAATAAAAAACACTTACCACCAGCTGACGTTGCTCAGTGCGAATGTGTCATTGCACTGGTAATGGTCGGAAAAGGTCAGTGTAACGCCCTTTTTAGTTATTGCATTCACAAATAAAACGGACCCCACACATACAGTGAGCAATATCCAGGCCATGTCACTCGCCTCCAGGTCAGGTGAAAATCCAGTTTGGTGTTGCGCTAAACACACGGATTTATCGGCTTTTAGAGGTGCGTTTTGGCGCTGTGACCATAACCTGCGATTGAGGGCTAAATACTTCCTTGAACAGGTGCTGTAGTGCACGTCGGCTTGACATTGAAACTGAAAGAGCCGTTATGGACGCTGAATGTCACAGGTAAAGTGCTTACGCTGAAGGAGTGTGGATTCGAACTGAGAAGCAACGGATTTGAGCAGCATCATGAAGATGTTCGCTACTGGACTGCTGCAACATATGACTTATATTGCCGTCCTTCGGGATGTCATGAACTTATACGCTCAAAAATTGTTTGATGAAGGTTACAACATTCACGGCCCCAGCAGAGCTTTCAAAATGTGTCATGGTCGTCATGTGAAGTACATTTCGAAATGTAACAGTGACACAATAATGTCCCATACAATTCCCTATTTTGACCTGTACCATAATTTATTATGTTCCCGTGTTTTTTCCAGATGATTATTTGACTTGCCTTTGCATGTGTTTGTGACGGGTGCCACCTTTCGGACAGTAAACGTTCGTCGTAAGAGTAAATGAACGTGCTTTTGATAGAGATGTCTTATGATTTTGGAAATGTTTTTGTTGCTTTATATTCACATGTCGGTGAGACGGGTGGCCCGATGATCCGGAGTTACGCTTCTCAACTGTCGAGATCCTCTGCTTGTCAGTTCGTGCCACACTTATACTGTGAACATTATTACCCTTATGTTCATCGTCAATAGCGGCTTTTTTCAGGTTCACATCTATATCAAACTGACGTTCACAACAACAACTGTTCAAGAAAGTATTTAGCCCGAAATCGCAGGTTACGGTCACAACGCCAATAATATCAAGTTAGTGGTATGCCCCGGGGTCAAGGAATGTAATCGAGAAGTTACTGAAAAACAAATCTTGTCTCAAAAACAGATCCCAGTATCCTCAGTGAGTGGGTTGTGTTTAACGCCGCTTTTAACAGTATTCCAGTTATATTACGGCGTGTCAGCTTAATGTGGGAGGAAAGCCGGAAGTGATGCAGGTGTCAGACGTTTACCACTTAGGTGAAACCCACGAGCACGGGTATGGTGCTGACAAACCTAGAAACATAATCGGGGCGAACCGGGATTCGAACCCACAATGATAGGTTTCTGGCATGCCCAAGGGACGCGACTCTGCACAGCGAATCGCGGCGCCTAAGACGACTGGGCCACCCGTGCCCCCTGTGCCGAAGGAAGTAGATGGGCAACTGTTATATGTGCTGATGGGGTTGCAACAAGTAGAGTTAATGATTCATTCATCAAGTGTACCCACCGTGCTGAAACACCAGGCATATGTTCCATATAAGGAAACAGAAACGAACAACGAAGGTCATTTCACTTTCAGAAGCTTGCGTGCATTGAAGTCAGCTACACAACCCCAGTTTCATTACTGGTCCCCTGTACTTAAACAAGAACTTTTCGAATTGGGCCTGGTGTGTGCAATTCGAAAATCAGATTTCCCAAAGTATGCAGCATCACTTGTCAGTGATATGCGATGGGTCTTCATGTCAACTGCACGACGGCTTGCTGTTCAGAGATATGTCTTTCTCGTCTGTTGAACACCCAGCCATTCTCTGCTCTGCACAGCGAATCGCGGCGCCTTAGACGACTGGGCCAGACGTGCAACCGTGATGCTGGCAATGAGAGGAAACTTAATAGATCGGGCGGTCAGGCTGGATCACGTGGTTGATTGCGTGTCATCGTACCCGACGACGTGAATCATTGTTTATATCAATGGATTATCTGTTTTAGACTCGATTATTCACAGGCCGCCGTCATTTAACTGGAATATTGCTGAGTTCAGCGTTTTATGACAAACAAAAAACATACAAAAAAACAGTTATCATTTCCTGATTTATTGAAAAAAATCAATCATTTCAAATCAAATATCTAGATAACAGCACATCACAACCATTTAAAATTTTTAGTGAAGGGAATTATACAGCCTTCCCAGAGCCGTCAGTTTCGACAAGTCGTCCTCGAGCAATGCGTTGACTTTGCGGATGAACAAGTCGTCTGTGAGAATGCGGTTCCCAAACCAGGCATAGCGAGCCACAAATGGTGCGCGTTCTAATCTAGGTATAATAAGTTTCATGTAATTCTCAACATGGGTTAGAGAAGTAGTGTGGGGGCAAGCAAATTCCGTCAACCAGACCTGTTTCTTGTAACGGTTGTATACCGTCTCCAGGAACCGCATGTCATTGTCGACGCCGCAGGTGTAGCTGTGAACGGCAACGTAGTCGACTTTACAGCCAGTGCACTCTTTGAAAAACTCGTCGAGCCATTGAAAGTTCTCCATTAGACAGTTGGTGTTGTTAATGTTACATCGGGCTGGAGCGGGGCTGATGATTGATTTGCCCAGACCCGCAGCCTCCACTTGATGCCAGTGGGAGGCAGCCTCTTTTGGCGTCAAGTGGCCTTGGTGTCTCTCGTTGGGCTCGTTGAAACCGAGAACGTGGTGTGCGGAGTTCGGTATATTAAGATGGTCGATATTACCTGCTCCCCAAACCATTGGTACAAACTCCCCTCTGGCCGGGCATCCCATCACCTGGACCTTGTCGTGCTGTGTAGTCCAGCTGTACCTGGCGTGGAGAGGTCAAGATAGTGAGTCGGTGAGTGAGTGATTTGAATTTTAACGCCCCTGGGGATACTATTACAGTTGCTCTGACATCTCGTTATCCGGAAATACAGCTTTCCCGATGATTGTGTAGGAGATATACATTTACATGTATGTGTTTTCAGATTGTCGAGAGGAATTGAGTATTCAATGCCCTGAAATATTACCATTTGACACCTCTGGCTACAGGCTACTGTAATTTTTAGTACCCCAGGGTACCAAATGAAATGTCTGGAAACATTCGTATATATGAAAACATATGATGTTAGCCGGAGGTTTCAAATGTGCAATTTTCCAGATTTCGAATATTCATTAACACCCTCAAATCACAGAGAAATACGACGTCACTCTGGAATGATATGAAGTCATGTGGGAATGTCATGACGCCGTATGCTTCTATAGTAACTGACCCCGCCTGTTTGGTAGAATGTTGACACCAGCAACTAAATCAAAGAATTTCCTGATAACTATGGAATAAACGTAGAATTTTATCGATAAAACAAAATATAAATAAAATTGGAAAATAAAAATAATTATGCTTCAGACTGAAAAACAAATACTCAATTTTTAAACTTATCCTATCTCACACTATGCATCTCTCTTTCTTCTTTCGATTCTGAGTGGAAACGTATCTGAAATAAAAGTTTCCAGCTTCTAAAGTTAATTAACCCTGTCATACCTCACATCGTCACGGTCACCTCCCAGATCTGGGTCATGCGCGCTATGCATGCTGGTTGACCTTCTTGCACTGATCACGTGTCTATCCCAGTCAACTCATTCTCTTTCAAATCGCCACGCAGTGGTGACGTGTTGTTATTACAGGAATCCATTTTGAGGTTTTCTTTTCGCTTGCAAGCGATCTTCATATTTTTGTCGTCTAATTGCCTGCAAATTTACTTATATCCCTGTTTGGGATAGTTATTCATCATAATGGACGAGCAGTCTACACGGAGACCTGTCTGCACTTTGTGCCGACGTGTTTTCTCTCCGTCCGACCCTCATGCCCAATGTTCGGATTGTCGTGGATTATGCAGTTTATTAGAGCGTTGCGAGCTCTGCTCCGATCTACCAGATGAATCCTTCAAACTGTACCTGCATAAATGTCGGCGTCGGGTGTCAGATCGTCTCTCTAAGACTGCAGAAAAATCCACGAAAGCCAAGAAAACACCGGTCAAGAAAGCGAGATCGGCCCGATCACCCTCACAGGCGGGCCAGAATACTAGGGATCAAACTGGTCCAATGATCTCGTTAGACGATGAGGGGGTCTCTGACTCTTTTCTCACAGACGACATGTCTAAGGTATCCACGAATCCACCTTCAAAGCCGAACCTACCCTCCACATCCCGAGACTCGGACATTCGACGAGTCCTCTCGTTAGACACGAGTGTGGATGACCGGCTTACGTCAGCCAACGTATCCAACCCGACCGAGGTTCGTACTTTCGACTCGTCGTGTTCTACGACTAACATGGAGCTCGCTCCTGTTTTACCTTCGGAGGGTACACATGGTACTTGTACCTCGGTCGACCCTATAAGTTCGGTCCGTCGTTCGAAATCTCCCATACGACGATCTTCGCAGGATCGATCCTCTCAAGACCAGGAGTCGTATGACGACTCATCGGATCAAGGTTCACGAACCTCCCATTCCAAAGAGGATTCACAAGACGATAGACATTCGTCCCGGGATCGACTAGCATCGACAGTCAGTGCACTTTATTCAGTGCAATCATCGGGGGATCGGCATTCAGACTGGGACCAACGGACTTCTCACTCTCGACACCGAGATGATTCACCGAACATCCCACCATCGAAGGTTCTTCGTACTTCCGAACCTCGAACCTCCGAACACCGAACCTCCGAACACCGAACCTCCGAACTTGGACCCCCGAACCTCCGAACCTCCGAACCTCGAACCTACGAACATCGGGCCTCCGAACCTCGATCCTCCGAACTTCGAACCTCCGAACCTCGAACCTCCGAACCTCGAACCTCCGAACCTCGAACCTCCGAACCTCGAACCTCCGAACCTCATCGAACCTCCGAACCTCATCGCACCTCCGAACATAACCGACCCTCCGAACCTCGTCAAACATCCGAACCTCGTCGAACATTCGAACATCGTCGAACCTCCGAACGTCGCTGTACTCCCGAGGTGCGACAGTCACGTTCGAATCGTACATCTTCGGGCAAACAAAAGAGATTCGAGCCTCGTCGAACCTCTGAGGTTCAACGAACATCATCGAACCGAACTTCGAAGGACAAACGGACTCCTAAGTATCGACACACTTCAAAGGAGGTTCAACGGGACACGGGAGTTCATAAAACCTCCAAGGAACGGAGACATTCGAGATACTCCCCTAATATGCGACGTTCACCTACAGATCGTTACTCGTCTTATGACAGGCGAGCGGATTATCGCTCATCCCCTTATCATGTCTCACGAAGAGACTATTCAGACCCATCACGTCTAGGCTCGGAGGATGAACGCTACAACGAGTCTATTAGCCATTCATCCTACATGTCTCGATCTTCTCCTTCACTCACCCATCCGGAGTTTCGACTAAGAGATTACCCTCACACTTGTGATTTTCATGAACGTGGTGATTACCCATGGAACACTACTTCATATAGTGCCTACGCACATGAGTTGGAACGATACCCACACTACAGGGATCCCGACCCTCCATGGCATGGGTATCCTCATGATCCAGATTACAGACCTTATCGGTCAAGCTACATTTCCTCTTCTCGTCATGAGGATTCTCCTCGGCGACATAGAGATAGACCACTCAGATCAGCTACCGTTAGTAGATGCCCTTCACCTAAAGATAGGCAGAGTTCTACTTCACCTACTCGTCGTACCGGCTCCCCATCGCCACCTCCGGTTCGACGCCCCCCTGTTTCCTCTGAATCACAGACTCCTGCAACATCACAAGCTCCATCTCAAGCTATCCCTACATCATGGATCCCAAGCGAACTTTCTGCTATTCCAGCAGAACAGATTCGTTCTCTGTTACAGGCTGTAACAGCAGCATGTCTTCCCCAACCGGCACCTGCTGTACCAACTACGGTACCTCTATCTACACCCACTACATCCCTTTCAGTGGATCAACCACCAGAATCAGAGTCATCAGACCACTATACCTCCCCAGCTTCGTCTTCTGGGAGCTTCGACATAGCGGATCCGATCACTGTACTTATCTGGATAGCAGATAAGTTACAATTGTTAAAAAGCACTTCAACGGAGGACACTTTATCGTCATTTGTTGTGCCTTCAGCCTCGTCGCCGAACATCACACTCCCTCCGAGACCAGTCCTACAGGATATGGCCACCAATTTAGACAAAGCATTTGGATCCTTTCGCCGTCTTCGTGATCGGCTTCAATCTCCACGCTTTGTATTGGCGGATGCAGGGACTCATGGCTTGTCTACGATTTCTCCCGAACTAGATGGTGACATCGCAACATTAGCTCCTAAGCGTCCGTACTCAGCTTCTTCAGTGGATGACAGGGATCTCGTTCACCTCGACACCACTGTTCGAAGGACCCTCCCGTTGGTCTCCACTATTTTATCAGCAACTGAAGCACTTTCGTCGGCTCTAGCTCATGCATCTTCCTCGGAAGAATCCTGTATTCGAGGTGCTGTGACCCTCATCCAGGATAAAACGACAGCTATACTAGACCTCCTTGCTCACCATGCGGGATCTATCACTTCTCTTCTTAGACGGGGGGTGTTACAACATTGCTCATGGGATGATCAATTTAAGAACAGGCTGTACCAAATGCCATGGTCAACACCCTCCCTTTTTGCTGGGCGCATACAGGAGGTCGCCCATGAAGTCCAAAGAGACACTTCCCTGCAAGTCACTGTTGACTTACTTCGTCTCCAGAAAAATCAACTGGAAGAACAAAGGAAAGACCGAAGACGACCAACCTTTACTCCTTCTCAACAAGACCTTAGAGAAGTTTTGAGTAATAGGTCTGCTTCTTTTCGTTGCCCAGGCCGAGGACGCCAACATCAGCGAGGAGGGAAATCAGGCGGACGCACCGTCTCCTTTTCAGGGACTAAAGGAAACACTAACTCTCCTAAGCCAGGAGACACTAACCACAAATGACTCACTACAACAGCAGAACGACTGGGACCTTCCAACTCCAGCCATTCCGATTTTTTCGTCTCCCGTAGGCGGAAGACTAGGCACGTTCGCTTTAAACTGGACCATCCTAGACGACCCATATGTGTCTCGTCCCCTACAAACAGGTTATCCTCTACCTCTTGCCACCACACCTCCGACGACGTGCAAACCGCCTCAACATCTGTATCCAGCCAAACAACTTCCAGTTCTCATAGACACCATAAACACGTTACTTGTAAAGAACGCAATAGAGTGTCTGGGCACTCAGCCAATGACACCAGGGTTCTATTCTCCAATTTTTCTGGTTCCCAAGAAAAACAGTCCTCAACTACGTCTCATCTTCAACATGAAAACCTTCAACAAACTATACCTAGAGGCTCCTCCACACTTTCGCATGACATCAATCGCTCTACTACGAACGATTATTCATCCCGGCGACTTCATGATCAGCCTAGATATACAAGACGCGTACTTACACGTCCCTATCCTGCCAGAGCACCGCCATTTTCTTCGGTTTGTGTTCCTAGGCCAACACTACCAATGGCGAGTGCTCCCATTTGGAATTTCTTCGGCCCCGTGGCTATTTACTCGCCTCACAAAACCCATCGTCAAGTTCCTACACACTCGAGGCATCGTCTTCGAAACGTACATCGACGACTGTATTCAAGCCAACAAGGATTCGAACACTCTACTTCATCACCTCGATTTCTCTCAACGCCTACTTCATCAACTAGGTTGGATCATCAACCCAAAAAAGTCCGAAACTATTCCAACACAACGTCTCCAGTTCATCGGAGCCCTCTTCGACACGAGTCTGGGCAAGATGTTTGTACC